ATTTAAAGTGGTTTGTGCGCTAGACCCACCAGCCTAACACGAAGTGATCTTTTCTATATATAGCTGGGCCCATGTAAAATGTATCTCTAGTAAGAAACACAGGCTGGAGTCTCATTGAGGGACACCAGCACTTGAAGCAACTGTTTAAAGTTCTGCTGAACAGGGAACAGTGTAATGTTCTTACACTGTATAAATACTTACGTTTTCCTACATCATGGCCATAAAGAGTTGTCTGGGGTTTTTTTATATGGATCTCCTTAAGCGTATTAACTTCAGGCTGAATATCAAATATGAGGATAATTAACTTTCATGTACTGTTTGCTAAAAGTGAATTCAATGCCCCCAAATTAACAGCAATGAGCTGGATATCTGGTGTGGTCCCAACTGATCTGATCCTGTGAAATGCCGCACTCTGTCATTTATAGATAATAGGGCAATATCCATAACTTACACTTTGAAGAGCAGAGATAACCAAGTTGAAGTATTGAATAGGCACATAGCTTAAATGAATTAAAATATTATATTACAAAACTTACAATTTTCAGCTTCTTTTACCCAAGCAATTGTTCAAGCTGAACAGGCAGTTGAATACTCACTCTTCCATTTGAGATACTTTTTCTTTATGAAAACTGTCATACTCTCTATAAATTAGCTATTTGAACTCCAACGTAATACACAAGGTTTCAGGTAGCAACATCTGTTTTGCATATTGTATATTTCAGACTTGAAACACACTGTTTTAAAACCCATGAAGTTTTGTTAAGTCACCTCCAGTTAAGCTGTAGTAACTTGTAACAGCTGAAAATCTTGTGCAACCTAGGGTTTGGATTTTTTTAAACTGCAGAAATAGCTACACCTTGTCAAAAATACCTACTGAAATATATAGGGAAAGTTCCATTTTTCTATAAAAAGTAGATTATAATAATACTTCAAGTATTTACAGTTTATTTGAATGAAAATTATTATAAACTTTGAAATCTTGAGATAATTCATAATTAAATCTATCATAATTACTTAATACAAGCTATGAAAACTCCAATAATTCTTCATGTTGTATTGTACATGTATAGTAAAACAAACCATCCTTCTTTCTACTCCAGCAGGCTGGAGGTAAAAGTGTTTTTCACCATTAGAAACTGAGATTCCCGGTGTGATCTTTTCAGCTTTGCACGACGGTTCTGGAACCAGATCTAAAGTTGGAAGAAAAGGTATAGTTGTTCAGCAATACAGCATTTCAGAAGAATAAACTTTGAAACTTAAAGATATTCACACAACTTCAGAGTATTTTGTGTAATGACAGTAGTTGGGAAGTCCAACGCAATTTTTAAAGCTGCAGATCCTTTTAAAATAGGATGTGGCTACCTGCAGTCATTTTAGCACAAAGAAAATCCCCTCGAGCTTAACTGGGAAGTGAGGACCAGCTTCACTGTAATTAGTATTAAAAACTCATATTAACTTCAGTGGCACTGAATCAGACACCGGAAGATCCTGAGCATCTATCTGGAATTCACACACAAGTCTTAAGATGTTATTTCTTCAGCTTTTCAATTAATCACAGCATCAAGCTTTCCACCAACCCCAATATAATACTGGCATAAAAAGCTTAATAAACACAAAGGTGAGGCCCAAATTCTAATGTTTATGATATGCTTCTTATCACATTCTTATCACATTGGACTACTTGGAAATCAGTGATTAAAATCCCCATGTAGATTTTGGTTTTGGCCAGATGAAGACATAGGCTCAAGCTTTGGTTTCACACATGTATGCCCTGACAGTCTCAGAAAATACTTAGACATTCATACAAACTATTTCAATATTTGTTTCAACTTTGTTTTTCAAATATGGTGACAAGTGTAATGTAAACAAGATTTGAAAATGTGGAAGCATCTGATCAAGTTCTGCACGTGATAACTAGAGATTAACAGAGCAGATATCATGGAAGTATCAGTGATTAAAACCTCACCAACACTGAGGAAGAAGGTTTAAGATTTCTGAAGTAATTCAATGGCTTCCGTTTCACAAATCACTGAAGGCATACCACATGTATAGATGCACAATGTTTTAATTCAAGATTATTAAGATTATTGCTACTGTTCTCAAACTACTTATTTTTATAATAAAAGAGTAGATGGAATTACAGAAAAGTTCAAATTAATTTTTAATTACCTGGATCCTGTCTTCATCTAAATCTAACTTGCGAGCCAGCTCTTCTCTAATGTCAATGCCAGGGTAGGAGTTCATTTTGAAAACATTTTCCAAGACTTCAATCTGAGGAGATTAAAACACACTGGTTGAATAGTTATCATTATCTTCATAGCAGTAATAAAGAATATAAATACAAAAACCAGTTTAGTTTGTTTAACAGGAGACTTCCCAGCAATGTTTGCACAATTCTGGTTCCATGCATAAACACAGGTCTCCTGAAAACAACATTACTGTTAATTTACACTAGTTCCTGATTGCATTTCTCTCTGCAGAGGTACATCATACTGAATTAGGCAGCTGTTATAGGCTCCTACCAACGTTTTGCTGAACTACATTGTTACTCACTTATTAAATACTGAGAAAATCCCTACCTGGTTTCTAGTGAATGCAGTTCTTGGTCTTCTACCCCTGTACCAGCTCAATTCCCGTTTGAAAGAAAGCCTTTCAGTGACCGAAAAATGTTTTTCACATTTCAGAACTTTCTCCTCTTGTGTTGGATTACTATTAGCATGAAATAGTGGATTTTCATAGCAAACAACAGGGATTTGCAGGTGGGGATTACTGTCATCACCTAAAACTAGAAAAAGCAAGCAAACAAGAGCTTCAGTTTAGTGGGTTTTAGTAGAAACATGAAAATATATACATTTCTAAGGGAGTACAAGCTTGAGAAACTGCTGACTTACCCAGGTTGGTACATGCATCCATCCATGGTCTGTGAGGTTTCACAGCTGGAATGCCATCTTTTTTCTGCTCCAGTCCCAGAATACTTTCAATGGAAAACGAGCACTGTGTGGGTTTATTTTCTACAAAACCAGACCCTTTCCGAAGGTTCTGAGAGGCAGCTGTGTTAGCAGCACACAGCGAGGTGCTCGCCATGCCTTCACCTTCAGCCAGCACAGCAGGTATACTGTACTTGCATTTCTCCACCAGTCCTCCTTATAGATATGCTGAGAAGGGGGCTGGATTTGCAACGTCATTAATTCAAATCTTTTATTAGAAAGTTTTAGCATGTCAATGCAAACTCTGCCACCGAAAGGCACGAGCAGTTAATTGTTTATTTGTTTGCAAGTAATTAGCAACTAATGGTGACACTGGGGGGCCACCAAGAGGGACAGAAAGTGTTATCTCTCCTAACCAGAGCATCGACTTAACTTTCCCAAAAGAAGCTGTGCACAAATATAGTACTTCTCTTTTATTTGAAATCATTAATGTATAAAATCAGTTTTAAAAAAACTTTATACTCTAATGGACTCCACTTACCTAAACAGAGCAGCGTGATAGGAAACCAGTCAAGTAATAAGTAATCTCATTTAAGTGAATTTCCTTCCAAGGAAATTTAAAAAATAATCTCTTAATGCTATTAGGGTAATCCCGATGAAAATGCCTCTGGTTTTTCATATGCATATGTAATGGTGAACGTGGTCAATAAAACAACAATAGCTTTTGGCATAAGGCTCCGTGCAGTGGGTTGGGAATGTTGTCAAAGCTCAGTGTAATTGCCTTCCAAGTGCCTGGATTAGTTAACAGGAACAGTTGCACCAACTATTTTAAATAATTCATGCATTCATTTTACTTATTAAAATAACTTTGTTACAGCTTTTTTGAAACATACCATATGTGAAATTTCCTGGTCGTTCTTTACAACATAAACGCAAAACTTACAGTAATAGAAGCTGTATGCTCAAATCTACTGATTTTAAAACCTCTTTTAACTGCTAGATATTCCTCCCTTCTTGTAGATTTATAACCAGTAAAAATGTATTTAAATCCTACCGAGTGAACACTTAAAATGACTAAAAATCATGAGTAAGGGAGAGAAAGGAGGTAAAGGTTTTGTAATGAGTTTCAAAATTGGAAAAAAGAAATCTGATTTCAGTCATTATAAAGAAAGTACCTACTAAAACATATCCAAGCTCCTCTGTCTGCCACAGCAGTTTACATGTCACGTGTTCAAAACCAGCTTTCGGTCAAGCAAACCATCTCTGCAGATATTCCTCCATTTTCTTATTTTGGACAAAGCTTTATTTTGTAACATGCAAAAATGAAAACAGTATTTTAATTTCAAGATACAAAAGTTACCTCTCAAATAAAACTTAATTTGGAGCACATGATGCAGGAGCACAGGAACATGTAGACGTGCGTGCTTTTAGAGCAAAAATATGGCCCTCTGTTTCTTGTTTTACCATTTTCTCAGAGTAGTTTGTTCTGTGTAATCAGTCACATTCACATGGCTAAAGAAATAAGCAGTACCTTCACTTTGATTTTCTGTACATTGTAAACAACCCAAGACAAATCTTTACGAAAAGACAGAAGCAGGACAATTGCTAAGGAAATGGCATGGTCTAGAATTGGCAATGTGCTGTGGGAGATTCTACAGAGAAAAAAGCAATCCATATGTGGCTTTATATCAGAAAGATGTTCAAGCTGAAGAATGTTGACTTACTGGACTGATTTTGTGCTGTGCAGTGAGATTGTTGTCAAACCAAACTATCAAAAATGGTAACAATTCACAAGTGATCTCACCAGGGACACCTTCTTAGCACGTACCAATGGATATTGAAGTGGCATCCATATAACTGCAGTGACCACCTACCAGCTGAGCTCCAACCAACATTTACCAGCCTCAGCAACCAGGAAGTGCAGGCATACAAAAAGGCCATAAGGACCTAAGTATGAAACCACTGTTCGCTGGAGGTCAGTGGGAAGCACTGTTAAGCAAGGGCTTTGCAGCCCTTTCTGTTCCAGTACAGCTGTTCCCAACACAGCAACCCATAACCTTGACAAAGCAATAGGACTCCTTTTCTTTGCTGCAGGCAGGTGTTTTGAATATTCAGACTCCACACCAGGCCCAGAGAGCACTAAAGAGACAACGCAAAGCAGTGATTGGTAGATCAGTTTTCTGCCTCTATAGTCTCTACATGGACACCAGGGTTTTTTTTGTTTTGTTTTTAAATTGCCACAAAACACATCAAGTCAAAAAGAAAACAATAGATCTCCCGTGCTGAACTGATAGACAGCCTCTTGAATCCAGAAACTAACAGACAGTAACTCTGATAATACAAAAAAATTTAAAAAATCTTCATGGTTATAATATAAAGTTTCCAAATACAGCCCACTGATATTTTTTTTTTTTTTTAAAGAACGTAAAAGCCCAACACAAGCACTGATACAAAACATATTCCAGAAAATATTTATTCCTCCTGGGTGAGTATGAATGAATTTAACCTGAGCCACACAGCTGAGACTCACATTACTACGCACTTCAAGCCCTGCAGTGGCAAATACTTTCATAGGTATTCTCTTCAGGAAGCTGTCAAGAACTATCAATAAAGGCAGGCGTATGTAGTAGGAGAGACATTTATGAGAGGCAAATCTAACCATTAAGTTGAGCAAGTACTATATATTTTTTTAATTATTATTATTTTTTTTACAGAAAAAGAATTCTTCAGGGTAATCTGCCTTTAACTCCCAGTTTGAAACAGTAATTCTTTCAAAGCTTTTTAATGACTTTTCAGGGAAAACAGATCCTGATAGCTCTCAGAAAGAATTTTCATAAACTAGATCAAACCCAGTTAACTTATTTGCTGGGCAAGGTCAGACATTTACCAACACTGACTGCCATCTGGTGTTAGGGCTTGCCAGATCTTAAGTTCCTTCAGCAGTGCCAAAAAATGTGTTATTATTAAAATAGTACTACATTTATTTGCCCAATGGTGAATTGAGTCAGACCTGGAGACTGCAATGCAGTCACTGAAACACATCAACACTCCTCTTTAAACAGGGTTCGTGGCTGCAACTGCATATAGAACAGGAAGTACCAACTCAGAAGGTCACAAGATAGATGCTCACATTATGCTCTCATTTCCGAGCAATTCAGTGACATTTAAAAACCCTTTATCTAAGAGCTTTATAATGCTAACATAGCTTTACACAACTGTTCATAAAAAAATTCACAAGAAAAGTTATTCTAAAGATAAGTCTTCATTACATCACAGTTCAATTCTATCCCCCAAAATGTTCAAGCTCAGGTTAGATGGGGCTTTGAGTAACCTCATCCAGTGAAAAATGTCCCAAAGTGGGGTTAGAATTAGATGATCTTTAAGGAGCCTTTCCCATGCAAACCATTGTATGATTCTAACCCAACATTTATGTAGAGATAAATCTACTAGCAAGTCTGACTTCCTTTGCAACCCATATGAAATTGCCTAGAAATACTGTTGTAGGGGCAATTAGAGCAACACGACAAACATTAAGTTGAAATCCTAAGTAATCAATAATAGGAGAAATCAGTGCTCTTTGGATATGCAAATCCAATCCTCTTACAGCATCACATACTTGACAACACAGCAAACTAATCTCTCTTTCAGATGTTGCACCACTGGGGTTTTTTTGCCAAGGGACAGAAGAGTTCATCTGGTTAAGTAGGTGAAGCTCTTGTTCTTTAGAGATATGAAGCCTCTAAAGACTCTGTTTATAGCAGAGTATGAAGAGACCACACCAAGAGTTCTTGAGGTCTGAAACCTCTATGCTCACTGCTGCTATCTTTTGCTGTTTTCACACGTTGCTATTCCACTGCCGGGTCACCTTTCATGGTGGCCTGTGCAGTATTTTCAGCTTTTCACAAGGGTGTAAAGGGTTTATACAATCTTTCTTAATTACTTACCACACTCAAGAAAGTTGCCTTTCATCTCACTTTTCAAACAGATTCTTTACCCTGCTGCACTAGTATTTCACCACCTCAGATTTTCTCCCTTTCAAATATGTTTTGAACATGACTAACAGACATTATATTCAAAGCCAACTTCAATACTCAAAAGGTTTTTTAGGCAAGAATATCTCAAAATGGTTAATCCCAGTTTTCACGAAACATGACTAAAAGCAGATAGATATTTCTTGGCTGAAGTAAAAGCTATTTTTACCCAGGCAGATAAAGCGAGCACAAAGAAATTCAAGATAAAACCGAGGGTGGCACTAGCAGCAGTCTTAGAAACAGTATGTTAAACAGCAGGTAACATGCAAATAAAGCCTACCTTATCCAGGTAGCTCCCTTCACCCTCCAGCAGAAGCAAAATGTTCTTTTCATTAGGGGGCACATCTGGAATCCACTAAAGTGGATTTTGGGTGCTCTTCTCCCTGTTTACATAGTGCCAAGTGTTAGTCTCCCACATTTTCAAGGCCTCTTAGTATTTTGCAGAAAGAAAGATGAAAAAGCAAAACCGGCCCACAAAGAAAACCACCCAACCCCACAAATCCAAGCCCACAAGCACATAAATACATCACACACTAACAAAAATCCTACAATGCTGAAAAAGTGTAACACTAAAACTGCACTTATCAGAGGGTTCAGAGGAATTCTTCAGTTCATTGCTATCAAATCTCATCTGTAGCTGTCAAATTTGTATCTCAAAACTTCTGGATGTTAAAAAAAAGTACACGAAAGGTGAGAGCGAGACTAGCAATATCTTACAGAATGTTTCAACATAAGGGATCTATTGACAAAGCTGACTACTAATTCAGAGAAGCCCTACTATACAAAGGTTTCCATCTTGCTACTAAGCCAAACCGAATAGTGAAGATCAACAGAAACAAGACTCATTTTTATGTTGAGTGCCAGCTGAGAAACCAAAGCACATTGCTACATATTAAAAATATTTATTAGTGTTTTGTTTTTTCTTCTACAAAACCATTAATTCTCAGAGAGCTGTTCTCTATTTCTAGCAGCCAAAGAAATGTTTGGGGTTTTTTTCCCCCTGTCACAGCTGCAATCATACAAAGCTAACTAAACCCAATTCTGTTTAAAGTTACTACCTTCCCGAATTCTGCAAGGGAAATGCATCTTGTAGAACAAAAGAGAGCATTTCTCACAGAACACCACTCTAAAACTTACAAGTTAGCTATCGCAAACCCAGAAAGTTATGCATGTATATATAGGTCATGGACCCATGC